AAGGTGTATGAACCAGAAAGAAAGGATAAAGTGAACGGAAAGAAAAAAATTTTTTCAACCCATTAATTCTGCTTCTCTTTGACAGAAGCTGTAGAGAAAAAAAAAAACCACCTAACCTTTTTGTTACCATTGAACTGTTTTTTACGGTGTCGTTTTTTCATCCACTGATTCCGATAGGCGGCGATATCATTCCGTGAAGTTGTATTTGCATAAAAATTGCCATCAACAAATTCGTTTTGTGCTTTGACTACAGTTAAACTAAAAAAAAAAAAAAAGGAAAGCTTATGAAGCACAGAAGAAAGCGAAAAAAAACAAAAATTACCAACAATCAAAAACTGTACAATTTCATTTCATCTTCTTCGCTGTTATTGTTATCTGTCAAACAAAAAATTAAACAAAAATACAAAATATTATTCTATTAAAAAGCAAAATTTTTTTTCTTTTTGGCAAAACGAACAGATAAATTGTAGTTCCGTTTTTTCTTCTTTTTTGCCTCTCATTTAAAAAGCATTTGAATGAAAGACAGAAAAAATGGCACAAAAAAAATAAGCACTATTTAATCTGTCAAATATTTTTATTTTGCTTCTACCATAAAAAAATTTGACATTTACAACAGTTACATCAAAAAAAAAGCAAGAAAAAATTGCCTAAATAAATACAAAAATTACTTCAGTGTCTTTTTCTTAAACTCCTCTCTACCCTATCCTCTGGTCGCCCATGAAATTCCAAATATCTGAACCAAGTTTTCATTAAAAAATTTCTTTTCTTTCCTTCCCTTTCTTCTGTTCTGAGTAACAACCAAACAATTAAAATCTCTTCAATAGAAACATAAAAAGTTGATAAATGAAAGTGGAAAAAAAGATGATTAAACAAACAGAATAAAAAAAATTGTTTTCAACACCTTAAAAGAAGAAAACGTTATCGGTTCCGTGTATTTCTTTTTTAATTTCTTCTCTTATTCCCTCTGATAACCTATCTGTTTCAATCGTCATCTTTAAAGATCTAACCTTCTAAACCTTTGTTACTTACACTCGAGTGTATTATTTTGATTGAACTTTTCATTTTCCTAACGCAACTTTTTTCTCCTTTTTCTCATTATCTGCCTGTTTAAGTTTACAAAATTTTACTTTTTTTT